TCCCTATTATGAAATTAATTTATACCTTTCATATGAAAGCTATAACCTAATAACAGCCTAAGAATACAGGGAGGCGGAAGAGAGAGGGGAGGGGAGAATGGGTGGAGGGAGGGGGATTGGAGGGATCACTTCTGTGGTTTATCTTACAAGGGTACAAGTGAATCTTTCTAAGAGTCGAGTATGAACATTTTAACACAATAACTAAGAAAATGACATGAAGGCTATGTTAAACAGTTTGATGGAAATGTTTCAAATTGTATGTGAATACACCACACTGTACCCGAGAAGTGCATTAACACTGTACCCAAGAAGTGCATTAATGTACATAGTTACCATTCAATAAAAATAAATAAATAAATAAATAAATAAATAAATTTGGATAGAAAAATAAAGAGATTCTGCTTTCAAAAAAAAAAAAAAAGAAAAAGTATAAAACCACAAATGGAACAGATAGTCACCAGTTTCAGGATAGTTATCTCACTCTAACAGTAACCTCTAGGAGAGAGAACAGGGAGAGGGAATGGTAGAGAGTGGCTTTAGCTGCTCTGTAACATTAGAGTTTAATATGTATGTATCATTGCTATGTAACAAATTACACACCTAGTGTTGTAGGACACTATAAATTTATTATCTCACCCTTTCCATTGGTCAGAAGTCTGGAAAATTTTAGCTAAGTCCCCTACTCAGGGTCTTACAGGGCTGGAATCAAAATGTCACCTGCCTATATTCTTATTTGGAGGCTGGGCTACTCTTAGGTTTTTGGCGGAATTCATTTCCTTGTGGCTATATGACTCAAGTCCCCATGTTTTTTTTGGATTTTTTTTTGTTGTTGTTGTTGTTTGTTGTTTTGTTTTGTTTTGTTTTTTGATAGCTGTTGGCCAGGTACTATTATCAGCTACTTTTAGCCACTTATGAGTCCTTGCCATGTGGCCCCATCCACAATATGGCAGTTTGCTCATTCAAGGCAATGGGAAGGCCTCTGCTATTGCTTCTGGCTTGTTAAAGGACGTATCTGATTAGGTTAGGCTTACCCAGGATAATCTCTCTTTTGCTTAACTCAAACTCAACTGATTAAGGCCCTTAAATACATCTGTAAAAGTGCTTTTGTCATACAACATATTATAAAAGCATGGGAATAATTCACAGGCTCTCCTTCACTTAAACGTTAAGAAATCAGAACACAGGAATACTAGAGGGTATCTTAAAATTCTGCCTACTACAACTTCCTTTTTGAAAAATGACAAAATGTTAACATTAGTGAATACATGATTTAAAAAAAAAATGTAAAGACAAGTCTGTCAAGCAGTCGATAGAGCAGTGGCATGATCTCATTCTTGGGGTCAAATGATCCTTCTACCTTGGCCTCCCAAAGTCCTGAGATTATGGTATAAGCCACTGTGTCTAGACTATTTTCTGGAACTTTTTATATCTTTAATGTTTCATAATTTTTTAAGAACATGAAAAAAATCCTATGTACTTAGGTCTTTATCTATCTATGTATTCATGAATTCATAGAAGCTAAATGAAGAGATCTAATAAAGAAATGAAATCTTTATAGGATTAGAATTTTGTTTATCTGGCAGTTATTAGGCCTGAATTGTTGGCCTTTCTTATACTAGATATCAATTTCAAAACTCTAAAGAACAATGTGCCAACATATAAAGAATTCTTCATGTATAGCAAATGAGCCGTTGCAATAAAAGGCACCATATTAATTTTCCAAATGGATAACAAATTACTACAAATTTAGGGCTTAAAACAACACATATTATCTCACATTTTCTGTGGGTCAGGAGTCTTGATACAACTTAGCTGGATCCTCTGCCTTAAGTCTCAAAGGCTGCAACTGAGGATGGAGCTGGATTCTCATTTAGAGGCTCTACTGGGAAAAGATCTGCTTCCAAGCTCCCTCAAGTTATTAGCAGAATTTATTTCCTGGGGCCTTAAGAGTCATAGAAGCTTGTTTCTTCAAAGCCAACAAAGAGAGTAAGAGAGACTCTAAAACAGTCTGGTAGCAATACGGCGTCTACTACAGCATAATATAATCACAGCAGTGACAGCCCATCACTTTTTCTATCTGTAGTATTCTATTGGTTAGAAGCAGTCACAGGTTCCACCCACACTCAAGGGAGGGAAACTACCACATCTATGCAGGTTTTGTAGTGAGGCATGATATTTTGAGGATATTTCTTTTTAAAAAGGAAGAAGCCTCTGTGAGTGAGTGGGGCTCTAAAGCTTAAGCTTCAATAGCTTTACCTGAAATACCTGTCATGGTATTTCAGTGAAATTAGAAAAGTTTTCCTTTTTCCTATAAAACTTAAAATATTAATACAAACACAAAATTCAAGTATAGAGAAAATACAAATAGGAAATATCAGTGGAGGAAAATCTGTTAAGTGGAACTATTTGAGAATTTAAATTCTTTATCAGACAGAGACATAAAATTGTTAAATAGAACAATGCCAACAAGTTTTACTACCATCATGTTTTACTGCAAATTTATCTTATTTATAGTTCTAAAACAATGCCTTTAAAGACTGTTAATTCTTTGAACATAGTCATTCAAGTGGAGGATTAATAAATCATGGTATATGTATACCATGGAATACTATGGAGCCTTAAAAAATGGAGACTTTACCTCTTTTATGTTTACCTGGATGGAACTGGAACATATTCTTCTTAGCACAGTTGAATCAAGAATGGAAGAAAAAGTATTCAATGTACACAGTACTATTATGAAACCAATATATAATCACCCACACTTTCATATGAATGATAAAACACAACTATATCTCAGAATGAAGGAAGGAAGAAGAGGAGGAAGGGAGGGGAGGGGGGAGACTGTATGGAGGGAGGGTAATCAGTGGGACCTCCCCTATGGTGCTTATTGCAAGGGTACATGTCATATCTCTTAAGAGTAGAGTATAAATGTCTTAACACAACAATTAAGTGAGGTAAAGGCTATGCTAACCAGTTTGATATAAGCACTCCAAATTGTATATAAAATCAGCATGCTGTACCCCATAAATGCATTAATGTATGCAGTTATGATTTAATAAAAAAAGAACATAGTCATTGAATAGTCTGTCAATTTTTTAATCTAATGACATTTTAGATTTTCAAAAAAAGAATTTAAAATTTTTAATAATTCTTTAAGTAACCAAACACATAAAATTTAGTAAGACTGTTCTTTCTCAAATTGGTATCCAACAAAAGCACACAAAGCACAAAATAATTTGAAAAAGTGTAGTGTTTTCTAAACAAGCTGGGTCAGTGATACCACATACCTGTTCTATCATATGATGCAATACTGGCTTTCTTAAATTTTGCACCATCCTGAGTGCAACGCTTTTTTTCTTTTGATTTCCCTTTCTTCTTATGGATAGCTGATTCTGGAGCAACTACACTTGGTACACTTGGAGGTACACTTTCTTTAAGGTAATCTGAAAATAAACCATTATTAACTAAATGACTAACATAAGCTATACATATCAATAATAATAATACCATAGTAATTCCACCTACAAAGCAATACAGCCAATCATTATATGAGGCAGAATAATAAAGTAGTTAAGAGCTCAGTCTCTGAGTTCAGTCACCTGGGAGTCAAGCTTAGATATAAGCTTAAACACTCATAATTCTGGGATTTACTTAGTAAGTTACCTATCTGCCTTACTTTCTTCACTCCAAAATGAGAAGTGTCATAGTAAGAACCCCATAGAGTTGTAACAATAATTAAATTAGTGAATATATTTAAAGCACATAGTAAATGCTTACTAAGATAAATGTAAGTTATTGATTTTATTATTATAATACTAAATCTTTGAAATATGAATCTTCATATGAAATAAATACAGAGAAAATGTCCTTTTTATAACTGTATTCTTCCTTGTCATCCTATTTTGTCTAACTCTGACCAATCCCATTTGTCCTTCACAGCCATCCTCCTTCTTCTGGCTTGTAATTGCTTTAGATCCTTGGCCCTGTTTTAGTCTTGCCTTATTTATTCACTCTCCCCAGGTGATCTCACTCATAGACATGTCTTAAGCTTTTACTCACATGATTATTTCTCCCAGAAATTGCTTCCAGTTTCACCACAACTTCTCTGACTTCTCAACACATATATTCAAATGCCTATACTGAGATATACCAGAGGTATTCCAAATGGAACATGTGCAAAATTGAACTCATGATTCTTGTTCCAGACCCCATAAATCCTAACCGTTTTTATAAGACTTCCTATTTCATGAATGGCACCATTCATTATATTGATCAAGCCAAAAGCCTAAGTGTCACCACTGTTAAGTCTTGTTTTTAAGACTTTCTATCTTCATGAATGGCACCATTAATTATATTAAATAAGCCAAATGGCTAAGTATCACCTCTGACACCTCCCTCTCTCTCACCACCCATCATCATAATTGTTAATTCTACCTTCAGAATATCTTAAGTCTCCTAACTGGTCTCCCTATATCAATTCCTAATCTCCTCCAACCTATTGCTCAACCTATAGCCAAAAGGATCTTTTCAAAACAGAAATCTGATCATGTTAACACCTGGCTTAAAACCTTTCCATGGCTCTTCAAAGTATAATGACAAAAATCCTTAACATGACCAACAAGTCCTTGTTTTGCCTGACCCTTCTATTCTTTCTAGCCTTATATTTCTGTCCTCTCTTTCCTGAGCAGGGAAAAAAAATACCACAAAGGTCAGAGAACTCCTACTTTTCACTCTTGTTGAAAAAGAAGAGGGGATTCTGGGAAGATGGCTGACTGGTAGCAACCCTGGTCAGAGGCTCCTGAACAAAGGAAGAAAAACTGGTTGGAATCAGAATCTATGAAGTCAAAGACGGGGAGCTGAGCCCAGAAAGAAGTTCGGCAAGCTATAAATCCAAGGAAGATCATTTAAGAACATAAAA